AATAACGCCAAGTATTAACAGCACATACCAGGGTTAAAATCGATGTCAGAGCCTCTCAAGTTAAACAACCATGCAACCTCATCGAGCATGGTCACGATGATTGCCTTTGCCTTCTTCTTTTCGAGCTCTTCGCGCACTTTCGTAACCTTGTCTAGATGGGACTGTCCTACGATGGTTGTACTTGACTAATCGAGAACGACGCCTCAACGATGGAAACATACCTGAGTACTTCTCATCAAGACAAAAAACTTTATTCGCAGGCCTTGATGGGCGATCTTTCCAAATAGCGTCCACGAGGTTGTTAGGAAGGGAAATTAGCTCAGAGGATTTGACAGAGAGTTGCTTGTTCAGACTTTCGGCGTCAGCTGACTCGTATGAATATAGTAAGTTTCGATGAATTCTTGAACCGTACTTGAAACGCACAAGCAGTGATGAGTGTAGGATCAATGCCTATCTTAGTCTTGGGCTCTAAGTTCTGTCTCGATCCATCAGTCCCGGTGCACGATAAGATATCCTAAATAACACACCTTGTGAAGGAATTCCTGCCATGTCGGGACATCTACATTCCAATTTTCAAATGAGTATAGTTCTCAGCGCTTCGAGAATGGGAAAGCGCACCAGGAAGCCCCTGCTTCATCAACGTCCAATTCCTATTTCACGATTAGATGTACACAATTCTCCATACAAATGACGGTTGCTAACTGGTCCAGCTGTTTGCCTGCTTGGAGGAAGTAACGGCCATCTGTAAAAAGGTACGCCTTATCCAGAGTAACGATTGCGCAACCTAAACAGGGGCAATGAGGGTGAGATCTTCTATCCTATCTCTGAGATTGAAGATGAGCAAACCTGCAGAACCATTGAACCCCGAGATGAAGGCCCTTCGCTCATCGCAATGAGCAAGATACTCGCTCGAATCTATCGGAGAAAGGGTGAGCTCCAGTCGAATAGCATGGCGGGCACTCCCATACGCTGATCTTCGCTCGGAACCACAAATGCCTGGATGCCGACATCCTTTGACTTCATCAACTCCCGAAGTCGAGTGAGTCGTCCAGTGGTATTGACTGTATGCTGGCCTGCTGCACCCATGGTTGCTATGCTTGACAATGTTCGTCGTTGAAGTAGAAGGGAAGATGGTGCTGGCCAGGACACCTTTTGAGGAATCCGAAACCAAACATGGGCCTGCCTCCACATGGATTTTAGTGGTTTGGAAATAGAGACAAGGCGGCCCGATACCCAATTTCTGGGTCAATCTGCCCGGACAGGGACGTAAACTCTCCCAACTGATAACTATTAGTAGTATTCATGAGGGCTTCAGTTGATCGTTGAGAAATGGGAACGTACAATCAAGTTCGAGGGATGCATACAGAGTGGTATCAAGTACAATTTGATCAGATTGTTGTCATCGCCATTGTGTGACAGTAGTACTACGAGGACTACTCTGAGTGTACAACTGGGTATTCGAGAGAAACATAAAGCAGTATGAATAAATCAACAGTTTAGAATATTAAAAGTCAAGAAAGTTCCAGGAGAGATGAGATAAACAATAATAGGGAGATTCTAGAGCTTTGGTCTGCGGGGAAAAAAAAGGTGAACGCTGATGGTAAAACAAGATACGAAATTGAAACGAATCAGAAAGAGCGTTCATGAAGAGGGAGAGGTTGCTCTCAACGGTCTCTCTGCGTCGAAGATCATATCGACCACACGATCTCGCGCATCCTCTAAACCCATTGACTGCATCTCATGCTGAGCATCTTCCTCGACCACCTCGACCAGCTCCACATCTTCGAAGACCCTATTGCCCAACACGGTTCGTAGAGAACGGAGCATATGTCCCCGCTTCAGGCTCGCCTTCGAAGTCGGCGTAGGTGGAGGGCTCAAAAGCGTCGACGACGACATCCAGCCATCACTTGCGTCAGCAAACAGCTGGCGATACAGAACCAGCGCGGCGAGGAGGGCCTTAATTTCACCATCGATGCCCGACTCGCTATCGGCGGCAGGAAGGTTGACATCAGCGTCTTCGACGACGGCCGCGTTTCCAGACTTCCAGACTCGCTCGAACATTTTGGCAAGCTCTTCAACGTGTCCACCGAGTTCACGTGCAGCATCGATGGTCTGTCTCCAGTCCTGCTCTTCCTTCGCCTGAGGTGTCTCGTTCCCTCCTACGACGGCGTCCACAAAGAGGCTTCCGAGGTGTTTCTTGACCCGCTCTTTCACGACCAAGCAGCCAAGGACTTCGAAGGGCATGTATGCTTTATCTCCATCCGACCGATCGTTGGGAGTGGCTCTCGATAAATAACCGGCGGCGTCACCGATGTCGAGGGTGTCAAATACCAATTTTTCGCTGATCTTGGTAGGGCGTTTGGGGTGAACCTTCTCGGCTTGCTGTTTGGCCGCAGCCCAGATGAAGCGGGCTTTCATGCGTGCAAGTCCGCCTACGGCACCCCTTGTACCCCAAATGAGCATGGCCAGCGTAGTGAAGTCCGTAACAGACACAGTCCTCTTAGCCGAAACGGAACGATACATCTGTAGGCGTTCGTATAAAGACAGCGAAGCAGTGCGTCCTACATCATCATGTTAGTCCGAAAAAATATGGAAAAAAAGCATTCTCACCTTCAAGTACACATTCTTCGCCCAACTTAAGCCAGCTGGAAGGACCGGCGTGGCGTGTTTTATCGTTCGTAGGTGCTGTACGACGAATAGACATGCTCCTGCCACGAGCAACGACCTTTCCAAAGCCGAATCCAAAGCCAATACCTAGCCAGTTGCCGATAAAGCTCGCCAGAACCAGGACAGAAACGAGCAGATGGAAGAGCTGGATGTAATCCTTCCAAGCCCATCCAGCGGCAGGAGTCGATGCGTCTGGAGCAACAAATTGCGAGATAATGTCAGGTGCATATGCCAACGGTGGGTGTACAGACGTAAGTACAGTTCCTGTGTGGTGGTGTGGGTGGTGCAATGGCGAAGAGGATGTCAGAGGAGAGTTGAAGAACGAGAACAGTGCAAACACAGCAAGGAGGAATTGCTGGGGCTGCGTTTGCTGTTGTGTCCATTGTTGCTGCGTCGCAGAGAACGCAGTGATAGGGGGTTGCATGACTTCGTCTTGCACACTTGCTTCAGGAGCCGTCGGGGCCACGGGGGCAACAGTAACAGGCGGAGGCAAGATCTTCCTCGGCCGTCCTCTCTTCCTCTTCTCAGGCATTGCGGCACCTCCTGGGTCGCTCGAGACGAGCATAACAGGAGCCGCCGGCTTCTTCTTCTCCTTCTCTGTCGACTTCTTCGAAGCTGATGCGGACGAAAGCTTGGGGCGCTTCCTCTTCCTCTCCTCATCCCCGTCCTCGCCGTCCTCTTCGTCGCTGTCGTCATCATCAGCTTCCTCGTCATCACCCTCGACTTCATCGTTCTCCTCTCCACCAAACTTAGCCCGCCATTCCTTCTCCCATTCTCGCACCAGGGCAGGACCGCCGACCAGGCCCGCAATAAGCGTCTTCAGCCCAGCTTGCTCCGCCTTGAGTCGTTGCTCCCGTTTCTTCAAGACGCGGATATACTCGACGGCCTTGCCCAAGACATTGGCCTTACTGCACTTGCGCGCGACTTTGACGCCATCGACGAAGCCACGCTCGTCGATGACATCAACCGCTGAGCCATCTTCGCTGTCCACATTGCTACCTCCGGCACTCTTAATGATGACGCTGCCCTTGACGTTCTTCTTGATCTTCTTCCCGTTCCCTTCCCTGTCTTCCAGTACACGCAACGCAGGCACCGCCATCCGCAAGCTCTGGATGCGAGCATTCAAGTTCGTGCGATAGCGGCGTTCGATGGTTGTATGGCTAGTTTTTGGCCGGGGCAACGCACTCGTAGGCGCCGTCGCCGACGGCGTAGGTGCGGCGTCCGCAGCTGCGAAACCAGAAGTCGCACTAACGGTCATCTTGAAGGTAGTGGGAGGAGGAGTCGACGGAGGAGGGGTGGATGCCGCAGATGAAGAGGTAGAGGCGCTCGAAGGTTTTGGTGAGGATATTGAATTGCGATGGGGTAATCTGGGTATAGGAAGCTTGCTCTGCGAAGCGTTCCCTGCTGGAGAAATAATTAGTGACTTCGTAAAATGAAGCAAATAAAATCGCGCACTTGGGATGTGAACATCCATTCCCTGAAGCTGGGCATTCATTGGCACGGCTAACATAACTCCTGCTGATTGACGGACTCTTTGGGCAAGTTCGGCGGCGGGATCATTTATGTATGGGTTTACCACCTCGTTCGATTGCGTCGGCTCCTCTTTCGGTTGCACGTCGCTAATGTAACCCGGTGTAGGGCTGGGCACCGATTCTGGGACGGGCGAAAAAGACGCTCCTGAAGACGAAGACGACGAAGTTACGCTGAGCCGTCGTTCCTTGGTGAATGACTGCGGCGAATCTGAGGTAGAACCGGACAAATCGTTGCCTCCCAGCACCGACTGGAACGAGAACGGGAATTGCGCCGAGAGTAATTCGCTCGATAAATTGTTGAATTGGTCGTCATATCCAAAGTTGAGACTATTAAACTGGAGAGCGCTGGATTCTATTGACATGGATGGGTCAAAGTCCATGGCCATCGAAGTGAGGTCGGCAAAGTCCATCATGTCAGAGTACGGTTTCGATTGGTCAGAATTGTCTGCCCATAGCGTACTAAATTTCGACCAGTCTTGTGAACTCTCGCTTTGCGAAGATTCGTCGGACGAAGAGTCACCATTAGAGGCACTGTGAAGGAGTAGATTCAGCGGATCTGAAGGGTCAAGACCGAGATCTGTGGACATTGCGGTCGTCGGGGCGTATTTCGTTCCTCCAAAAGTCCTTTTCGTGGCGAAGATAGTGGTCCTGGAGAAAGAATGTTTTTCTGTTGAAGTCAGGCGATGAGGCCGAAGTCAGGCCATTAATTATGGTCACGTGGTGAATTATTGTTATTTATGGCGTGTTACGATTTATGGTGGCAGTGGCACCATTTAAATATTAAGTTTTTTGGTTATGCAAGCCGTCGTAGCACAATGGTAGTGCGTTGCTTTCCTATCGCCCTAGGTGTCAGGCAGAGGCTGTGGGTTCGAGTCCCACCGTCGGTTTAATTTTTCAGTGCGTGATACAACCCAATGCATGACACAACCAGTATCATGCCATTGTTTTGCATGCCGCAGTCTTACGGCCTCTTTCATGGCAAAGAAATTTGACGGTATGCACGTATCAATAGGGACAGTCAAAGTTGTCGATTCTGACACGATTACACATGTGATTATGATAGCGATTCTGGTCCGATTTTTGACCTGGAATTCTGCCCAAACCACAGAATCGAGGACCCAGAATCCGATTCATGTTGCACGAATCTCCTCCGGAGGAGATTCGTGCAACGATTCTGTGATTCTGTGTTCCCACGATTACGGTGACCCAAAAAAATCTCCATAATCACGACAAAATCAAGACCTATAATCGGACCTATAATCGTATGAAAATCGTCTACTCTGACTGTCCCTAATGACATATATCTAACAGAGATGCATCTATTTAAGGAAGATGATTTATTCGTATATCCACATGGGCAGTATACGCAACAGCAAACACGCTGGAATGTTTTTTGAGGCGTCCTTCATTTATGCAAGGCCCACTCTCCTCCTCTAGGGTATGGTCTAATCGGGTATCTTCACAAAGCAACACCCAGTTCTACTTTCGGCATTTATCATCTACGAGCTACACAAGAAACGAGGGTGAGCCAGCGACGAACCGAATTGTGCTTCTCTTACCTCTCTGAATGTCTCATGATCCCAATGATGATGAACGTAATGGAGAGTATCTCGTGGAATCCACCACTCAAGGAAAAGGAAGAAAATACAGTCCACTAGAAGAATAATGGTATAAATGGGACCTGCAAACGGTCCTAGATCCATCGTCCTGTGCAAGGTGGAGGAGAGAAAAGTCGCGCAATGAGCCTAGGCAGAATAATCCGTTGGATGTGGATCGAGACAAACCTTTGAATCCGTTCCATCAGCTCCATTTGTCTGGACTTCAAGACAGCATCGTACACCCTCTCCGTACGCGTAGCCACCTCTTCCCAATTGTAAAACGTCTTGATGCGCTCGTGTGCCCGGACAGGGTCGTGTTTCCCGTTCTGTACAATGTGTATGGCCTCTGATATTGCGCGTATGACATCTGCGATAATGGAAGCGTGAAATTGGCTAAGGGCAGAGGCAGAACGAGGGAGGGATGAACTGACCATCTTCCTCGGGCTTGGCGAAGCTGATCATGTCTTCGGGCAATATTTCCGGCACGCCTCCCACCTTGGTAGAAACGACGTAAAGACCCGCACAAGCTGCTTCCAGAATGGCGATTCCAAAGGCTTCTGTCAGGGAGGTGTTCATGAAAATTGAACCTCGGGAAAGAACCTGAGAGGAATCGATAAGAAAAAAATGGTACAGGAAAATATTATTACTATCTTACAGATAAGACATCTTTATGTCGAATAGGACCAAGAAGTTCGATTCTGTCTTGAAGAAGATATTTCTCGCGCATTTGTAGGAGTTCTATAAGCTTGGGACCGTCGCCGCCTGTTGCCAAACAATAAAGATAAGATATATGATTTTATATTTTGGCTTATAGACTTGCGCACCAACGACGAAATTGACGTTTGGAAAGAGGGCACAAATCTTTGGAGCAGTAGCCACGAGAAGGTCGATACCTTTTCGGTAGGCTAGTCGCGACAGCACGACGATCGTAACTTGAATGAGTGAGATATCGAATTCAGCGATTGCATATCGGGGTCAAATCCGGAGGACGTACTAGTGTCTGTAGCTGGTTGGAGACAAGGTTTGAACTGCTCTGCAACAAGGGCATTGGGTATAACATATACACTTTTACGAAGTTCGAGGACTTTAGGATCCTCATTGCGTTCAAAGAGTTGGCCACGCAGAACAGTATTCTCTCGTCTAAATATTCCTTCATCAACACCTGAGGACTTTTCCGAGAGGTGCCACGACATACCCTGTATGAGAGACACAGATGACTGCGTCCACATTTTTCAAGGTTCCCACCATAAGTTTGTTCGTCAAAATGCTTGCAGCATCGTCGAATCCGAAGAGACTATGGTCTGTAAAGACAGTCCGAATGCCCATGAGGTGAGCATGCAGAATACCCTCGTGCCCGATTGACGAAAGGCTGGCGTGTGCATGTATAAGTTGTATATGTTCTCGTAGAAGGATTGTGCGCAAGTACGGTAGAGAGGTGAGGAAGTTGGGCAACGTCGCTGACGAGGCGATGGGTAGAAATGGGATGTAGTAGACTTTCAAGGATGGGAGGAGCCAGCGTATCCCGACCCGGTCAGGTGAGTGACTATGCGTTATAACGATGACCTATTCGTTATCCATTAAAGGCGGAATCTTGATAAAAGGATTCCCATACTTTATGGCCTCTTCGAATGAGGTTTGCGCTGAGCATGTATATGTGGTTCTCAACCCCACCCACAGCTGGATGAAAGAAATCTGATATCATGCTTCCGTTAAGTCAGCTTCCTGTTCAGACCCCAAGTTTAATCCGCTCACGCAATAGATATTGGTTCCATAGCTGGCCATCAGCATCACATTTCGGTTAGAAAGGGTGCCAACGGAGGTTAAGATCAAGAACGACCGTATTCTTGATTACTGAGTACGGAACGTTGAACAGGGTCTGGGAGTTGTTGACTTTCCGCCCTGAACCTTAATTTTTATTTGGGATATGGAATTCTAGAAAGTCCGCCCCGCCTTTGTTTACTTTGGTTCTCGACCGAAAATAGGCAGAGCGCGGGCAGCCGTTCATCGGGCCGCAAACGCTCAAAGTCCGGATCCCTGTTGGCTCACAGGAGCTGCAGGCCCAACGGCGGGATGACACACGCATAATACTTAAAAGATAATTTAAGTGATATTTCTACAGAGAAAAGTACATACACGGCGAGGTAAGAAACGGACAGGTTAATACTAAGTATGCAATGTACATAGGCCGCTCTGGTTACGTAGTTGACATTGAGAAGGAGCATTGTTGGTGACATACCTGGTGGGCCTCCCACTGCCTGGATCCCCCTTCGTGTTCCTCCACTGCCCATGCTCCTGCGGTGCTGGCGAGTGTTTGTGTTTGTGGGTGGGTTGTAAGCGTCCACGGGCGGTCCAGGGGTGTTCGTGGGCGTTTGAGGTGTTCGCGAGTGGCTGTCGGTTGCTCGCGAGCCTTCGTGGGTGACGATAGACATCCACAGGCGGTCGAGAGGGGTGTTCGTGCCTAGCCGCACGTAACCGAGGCTCGGGGCTGTCTGAGCGTGTTTCAAGGGTGGTCAATGGAGATCATGGGCGGTTGGTCAGAGTTGTACGCCAGTGGTGAGCAATTTGCACTCACATCTCGCACCTTCCTCCCACTCCGTTCTCATGATAGAGTCTTGTAGCTCGAGTCCGTTCGGGCTCTCGTGCACCATCGAGACCGCCGCCCTGAAGTCGAAGAAGAACGGCTGGGGCGAGATGCCCGCCATGACCATGGTGCAAGTCCAGGGGTACCGCTAATGAAGGCGCAGATTCAGTTCACGCCAGCAGGTCGCAAAGGGGGGGTTTCTGGAGGTGAGTTCAGCGGGGATGATGGTGCCAAGTAAGAAAAGCAGGAGTTATTCTTAGCACGTAAGTACCCATTTCGGACAATGAGCCAAAGTAAACAAAGGCGGGGGCGGACTTTCTAGAATTCCAAATCCCAAATAAAAATTAAGGTTCAGGGCGGAAAGTCAAAAGTGGGGTCTGGGATGCCAATTATTTGTTCTTGTTACAATATAAGGGCTTCAGAGGCATCAGCGCATCAGCTGGTCGAGACCGCGCCGATCATCGATTATCGATCGTGGCGCTCGCCGCTCGCACCTGCTCGCTCGACACCAAAATACCTTGTGCGCCTCAAACTTTGCAGGATTTCGCATGATAAATGGGCTTTTCTGCTTTCAAATTCACTTCTTTGAGATTTTCTAGTTCGGAGTGGCAATATTCATGGCTTGCTGCGCTTGAGACGTCAATATTTGCGCTGATTGGTGAAAGGGGTATGTGCCTTTCCCCTATTGGGCGCCTTTAAACTCATAGTCATCCAACTTTTTCAAGGCCATTGCCGTGATTTTGGGGGTGGGCGTCCAGAAGACTAATATATACCCTGCTTACCGCACACAAAGGCACACACAGGCGAAGGTCATGCATTTTTGAGGACCTTTTCTGTCAACGAACCCCTATCCAGGGGCTTGTGTTCTATTCAATGATTTGAATTGGTCCAATCGGGTGCCAGAATCTAATGTGGGAGATTCATCTGCCTTGTCCGTGCCACAGAACGTTTAAATAAACTTACAACCTCAATTGTGGTCATATATACCTCCTCGTCGCTCCGTAGGACATCTCTGCCTTGGCTTCTGCCTCGTCGACTTCTTACGCATCTTCTTCAGGACTACTTCTATTGACCGCGTCACAGGTGTTGCATCTAGTTCAACTTGCACAAACCTCCTATTCCAACCTTCTAAAAACGATGCCTTTTATCGACCTAGAAACATCTGGTGGCCCCTTTTCCTTTCGCTATTCCATCGCAACGCCCACATCACGCTCAGCAGACCGAGTAGTGCCCGACCTGCCGTGTATCCTATTTCTCCACTCTGGATATGTTGCCCAAGAAATATTTGAATGTGCGGTCAAATATTTCCCAGTCATAATTCACTGAAACCAACGATGTCTTTCTGCAGTCCAATATGCCGATAGAAATCTTCGACAGTTCAACCTCATCGCTATCGACATGCGCGGTAACGGCGAGACGAAGGGAATGATAGCTCCAGACACGCGTTTTACGCCCACCGAATCCGCCATTGACGTCGAACAAATCCTGGTCCGTGATATTTTTGATGTCGGCATCTATTCCATTAATTCCATTAATATTGACCATCCCCATTTTGTTATTCCAATCTCATCATAGACCAAACTTAATATTCCACCGTGTCATATCTTCGGCCTCTCCAATGGTTGCACGGTAGCATTGGAATTCGCCGTCGCTAATCCAACCCGCGTGTTGTCACTGACGCTGTGCTCTCCTTTACCTCCAGTAGAGG